ATAAGTCTTCTAAATTATTATTATTATTTTCTAACGCATTGACTACTCCTTCATTTTCCGCTGATAATATCGGCTTACGGCTAAAAATCCTTTTATCTACGTTCTAACCTATGTATATAGAGTGCAACTGCCATACACATGATTATCAACTCGCCATTTCATGGTTCGCAACACCATTTCACAGCGAATAAAACGAATGAAGCCTAATTATCGAATGAAAAAGCAAAAAGAGCTGTGTTCTGACAACCTCGTAACGCCAATTGCGTATGATTTCGTGTATTGCAAGCCTAAACATCTTATTTGTTTATTTTTACATATATTTTTTTTTACTTTATTTATTTATTTTTTTTAACTTTATTAATAAAGATTTCGGTCTTCTGTTACAAACAACCACTGTTCGGTAAATAAAAAAAAAAACTAGATTATTTTGGCAAAAAGATACGAAGATCTAACCGAATTAACGACTGATTAGCACAAAATATTCGAAGCAGCTGATATGACAGGGTAACACTGCACAGTAGAAAATTTTAAATGCTTTGTCCTGTGTGATGTGAAATACTAGCATATAAACGAGTTTTCCTTTACGGTAGAAATCAGCTACTAGTTAATTACGCCTAACGACATACATACCGAAAACAAAGTGGATTCATTCGGCTCAAGTACTCAGGCAAGCGACGCAGAAGGCCTATTTGTGTCCAACTTTTGTCCTTGCTAAAAAAATCGGTCCATATTATAGCCCAAAAGCAACCTCTGTAGTACACAACCATGGCACAAGAAGTTAACTACGGAACGCGATGAAAATTTCGGTCGAGAACCCCTGTTTATAGTATTGTCAGGCACGTCGAAGTGAATACTAAGAAAAAATAAAGCAGAGCTATGACTTATTTAACTATGTGGGCAACAAGTAATTCAGGGTAGAAGACACTGTTTGTGCCTTGGCTAAAATAAAACTTTTGGGAACCGGCCAGAAATACCGGAAATAGAGTAGAAACAGCTGAACCACACGTGAAAAGTGATCCTTTACATTTACTAACTGGAGATCAACCTTACTTAGCTAAGACAGGGCAAAAGAACATCCCAAAATGTTTTGACCACGGTTGAGGGCCTCACCAATACGCCAACTTAGATCATGCCACTTAGTAGATTTGTAGTATAGTGTTGAACGGAATGACTTAGCCGATAACACTGCGGCAGCCGAATGTTGACGTGGGTTTAATTCAAACTGAACAAAGCCAAAAGAATTTTTCACATAAAAATTTTCTTAGGTTTCTCAGACTTAATAGCAGTGGCCGTGTGAAAGTGTCGATTCTTATTCATGAAACAAACTTGCGTGGTAATGGCGATAACCACACGGCAACCGTAACAACAAGACGCAGATAGCAGCGGCTTCCGTAACCATTATAACCAGCCAAAACATCCTCTACGTTTTTTCGTCCGTAACGGGTGCAAACATTGTGTCTGATCAAATCCAATTGACGATGGAACGAAGCATGGCATATAATACAGAGCCAACGCTCTGCAATATAAGTTTAGTATTTACGAATTAAGGCAGCGTTGATGTTGGCCCAGTTATGCTATAAGTTGGCTTTAGAATGATTTTCGTAAATAATGCCTTACAGTTCGGAACGATTCAATATATAAATTACAAATGGAGATTTTAGAACTATGAGAGCAAACTGGATATATGTCATATTGATATCAGCTGCCTTTCGATATCTGTGTTATAGGAATTACAGACATTACAGCTATAGACTGCTACAGTTATAGACATTACAGTTATAGGAATAACTAATGTCAACCAAAGTCCCGATCATAAATGAAATTATATTGTTAGCATACCAATGGAATATAAGGTGCAGTAGACAGAAAATTTGCCACCTTCCCCCACCGTGTTCAGTGGTAATTACTGTAGTTAACTCAGTTTATGACGGAGTTAACGAACTGGATCATATATGTATGCAACGTCTCGTAGGAAAAATACCTATTTGCATCACCTACAATAGAAAACCACCTACCGTTAGTATTCGAAAAGCGTAATAGTCCTGTACCAATTGTTGCTGACTGCCTGGCGGAATCCAACGCTATAGTTGAATCTCGTTCCACCTAAAGAAAAAAGTACATTTTTACATCTGTCGCTCTAGTGAACTTTTACATATCGACCTTCATTTTTGTTCCTCACAAAGTAGATCAACTCATCTTTTATTTTACATTATACTTCGAGGATTCACACGATTGCTCAGGCAAATCATTAATGGTCATCATTAATGTGAAGGCCATTAATAGGTTATAACTAATAAGAAGAATAATGGAGTAAATAAACTCCAAATTGCTGTACCTCTATAAGAATTTCGTTTAGCTTCTCTTTATGGCCTCCTAGTGCGTGACGCCTTATAAAATGACCTTGATTAGAAGCGGAGAATGCTTCTTTCGGATCCGCACTGGCACTCGTACTTAAAAATGGATTACTGTTTATGCTTCGATCGTCTCCGTCCTTAGCTTGTCGTCCGAAGTTTATGGGTTTACGTTTTAGTTTTGGAAAAGGAGCAGCAGCAAAAACATCACAGTCGTCTGTTGTCTGAATATTGTCACGATGTAGACGACCTGGATGTCCTTGAGTGTCCTCTAAGTCATCCAGTAAAGGAGTGCTACCATCAGACTCAATCGGTCGATCGCTAAGATTGCCACTGTGACAGTCTTTTATGAGAACGGTCGTAGCTTCTGAAAACGCCCAGTTAGTTTACATAGATTAGAGGGAGAAAACTAGATCGGTAAACACCAAGCGTGATTTATATACCCCAAAATATATATGCACGAAATAATTAAGGTTAAGTACGATGAAACTAATATTTTTAATTGAATATTTTTTAAGAGATTTAAGTAATAAATATATTTTACTGAGTTTCAAAAGCGTGAACGTGCATCACCAAAAAATCGTTTAACATGACAGCTGATAATAGACATGTTAATTGCCTTGCGCAAAGTTTAGAGCCAATATTTAGCGAGCCACTCTCGAGGTCCAATTATTACCCCCCAGAGTACGACTTGGAAAAGTGTCTGCAGCCCTTTGATCTCATTGTCATCATTTGTTTCCCGTGCAGCTAAAATCATTTAAATGAGTTTCGTTAAGGTGCTGTACTGTTCCAAAGAGTTTTTTGCCATGTTTAACTCTGAAATATTTGATCAAAGAATCGGAACGGCTCTCAAAAGGAAGACACTACTCGTCGTTGTCAGGTGCAAAGTATTAATTGACGATCCGAGTAACGTTCACATAGTTTTCGGTCTAAGCTTACTGACTGGGACTGATCCTTAACTATGTCGATACTACTTTATGTTAATTAAGAATAGTCATACTGCTTGGTGGGCATGATTCATCGAATTTCAAATAATTGTAGGGCCCTTATACGCCTCCAGGATCCATCTGTTCCCCCCCTTCTGTATTTCCGCTATTCCCAGAATATATATATATATATATATATATAATGGTATAATTAGTTCGGCGACCCTAGAGTATTATCTACTAAGGTAATTTTTTTTTTTAATATTTTCCGCGTTTATTTCATTCACTATGTAATCGGATAAACTGCTTCTTTTTGTAATGTTTTATAGGTTGGCGGTGCTTGACCGCTATCCTGGCCCGCGTAAGCGATAGCCACTAATTGCTCTTTAACGCGTAATGGAAACTCATATCTTAGCAGGGACTTTGGGAACGTGTAGGGTTGGTTGCCGGAGTAACGTCGAAAAATGGCTTTTACATGCCAAAGGGCGGACGTAAAAAGTACCTTGTTTTTGGAACCAGTTTTTGATAATAAAACGAAATATGAGCCTCTTTTCGGAGCTTGGATGCCGGAGACCGGGCATCTGAGTTGACCGTGACCTCGAGGGCTCACCATGGAATACGGCTTTGGACCTACGAAGATATTTCGTTATGCACACGGTCTCGCTCGCCTTGGTGTTCATCATCAAAGAGCATTGTAGGAACGAAAGAGCCGAGCTCTTCCGTCGTCACTCTCTGTGCAATCGTTCGCTCTCTCGACTCGTGGATGGGTTATGGCGGTGCTTACATAACATTTTTTACAAGTTCCCTAATATGTACCCGTTTCATAGAATTAAATAATACACATATCATCACACACAATGCTTAGAATTGTATTGCTGAAGGCACGTAAATCGATTTGATTCACCCCATTCAAAAGCGTGGCTTATGACTTTTTGTGGTCTAGCACAACTCTTTAACATAACACTTTTTATGTAATATTAGACTATGTACGACACTCTGACAATTTCGGAAATTGATTTCTTACCCAAAAGAGAGGACCCAGTCCTACATGCTGTTCCGAAAAGTTGGTGATCGCTCCCATCAATTGCTTAAAAGAATATGCAGCACGGCTAGATAGCTTGTGATGGCGGGCGTAAGCCCATTCGTAATTAGCAGTTCTGGGTAGCGCTCGATCAAGTTATTATGGAACCATGTTGCTATTTATCGGAGCTACATTTAATGCAACAATGAGACCTCTACCGGGATGAAATTGAATGAAGTTGTTTTCGAAGTGCCTCTACAGTGCTTGTACTTATTTGGCATCATTCATGCAAATAAGCTAGTAAAAATTTACTCCTTCTCAAGCTCTAATCAGTATTTTAATGGTAAGCTGTTTGGGTTTTGTTTGTCAGTCTTAGAGATGCCGCAGCTTTCTGAATATTCAGATTGTGAAATTAACGGCGTGAATCAGAAGGTCTATGAACGAGCTTCACTGGGCTTTTTCTGAGCTACACTGCCTGAAGAGCGATGTTTCAGTTAGATTCAGAATGACCTCAATGCCATCAAAGTTCGCTTAAACGTTCCAATTCACTGAACCCACGTTTCCTGATTGCTACTATTCTAAATACTTTCCTCAGATAATTTTCCATCACAAGGGTTTCCAAAGAAAGAGAACCGTTTTGAAATGTATATATATATATATATATATTTCAAAACGGTTCTTTATATAAGGAATACACTAAGCAGTACTAATGATTCTTATATTGTAAAGGATGTTTGTTGACGCATTGCCTTTACTGGTAACATATTTAAAAAAAACTGATAATAGCCACAATTAGGTTAAAACGAAAATGCTGAAGCAACCCGAATCACCCTTTGTTTACGTTTTTGTTTACATATACAAATCGTTGCCTTTTGATATATCGTATCTTAATTTTCAGACAGTTACAAGTTGTGGAGTTTTGGTAAACTATTAGAAATCTTAGGCTTAAAAAACCAACAGCAAGGATATCAATTTTAAGTAAACCCATGTCTGTCAGAAGGTTGCGCTTCTTTTCGACGCAATGTAGGCACGCGAAAACAAAAGAATACTCACTACATATATTCCTGTGATGAGATTGGTGAGCATGTTGGTGGTCAAGGCATCGTATATCAAGTGATGCACCAACCGAATCAATCTCCAGAAGTCCCACGGCTTGGAAGTTATCTGAAGACCCCGCCTCGCGTTCTTCCAGGTCATTAGATCTAGCCGTATTATCATTAGCCGTGCGTAACCCTTGTGAGACATCATCAAACACATCGATGTCTTTAAACTCTTTGTTGGGTGATTTCTGCTGCTGCCGTTCATCATTTTGGCGCGCTGCATCGTAAGCCTTTATGTCGCGTCCATGCTGCCGCTTCTTCACCGAGGCTGCTAAACATTGAAAAGAACACAGAAAACATCAACAATACGGCGATCATATCTTCGACATATAACGATGAGTCTTACATGCAGAAAAATCTTTTGGTCTATATCTTCATTTTTTTTTAAGAATGAAATGTTCGTTACGAAAAGGTCAATTTACGTGATTCTCTGTGTTTTTTTTCATTTTGAGATACGTTTTGAAAAACAGGCCGTCTACCCGGTTTTTATATTTAGAAAAGCTGAAGCGTCGCTTTTCCTTTTTGAACTTTCTTTGAACAACACGAATACATGCCTTTCCAGTACCTCACAATCGTTTGTACGTTTTCATAGATATTTAATTTACGAAATTGATGGATCTATATGAAATATAGAAGAATGTATATGATTCAAAAATTGGCATTAGTGTTCTTTACAGTTGTACATAATATTGAATATTTTAAAAATCGCTTGAACTTGGAGAACTGCTTGGTACATGAGAACGTCATACCAGCAGAATAGCGCTACCATTTATAAAGCAACAATCAGACAGATTGGAATGTTCTTTTCTCGTCACGCTTAGCGGCTGTTTTAGACAGCGAATAAAAGAAACGAGCTCGATACTGTCTGTCAAGAAAGGTTAGAACCTCGGAACGCTGAAACGATGAAATGTAATCTAGATGCCTCAACTGTTAAACTCATCCCCTATAGTATTATGATTTGTTTCTTTCTTTGCGATATGAACCGTCAGAAAGGACTTTAGACGGCTGGCTCCGAACACCAAACGATGTGTGTTATTCGCACCCGTACCATTAGCAACACGTCACTTACTGGAGGCATTTACAACAATTTAAATGTTTTTCTGTAGGACATTTCATAGATAGATTTAGCAAGTCATTACATTTAGGCCACCCAAAACATTCCCTTTACAGAGTAATATTTCCTAAAGGACGTGTAAAGTAAGGCGCTACTTAGTTTAGATACGGTCACAAGTGTAGTTCAATTATTTATCAAAGGCTAGTAATTACAGTACATGTTGCAACGTGCACCAGCTAAATGTGCAGTGACAGAACAAGCATCTGGTCAGCCTGCAGCAGCAGCTCCAAAAAATCTAGCAAGTCTTGAGTGATACTTGGATGTCTTGAAGCAAAAAGCGTTTCGAGTATGAGGCAAGAGGCAAATAGGCAAATAAACAATCGTTTTAGCATTTTTATAAATTTAAAACTATGTAATTACAGTATAGTAATGGGTAGAGGAAAAGCAAAGTAGGTTTACAGCAGAGTCGGACATGCATCTACAATCACGAAGAATTGACATATCGTTCGTATATAAATAAACCTGTAACAGCTTTAAAGATAAATCTTATGTATAAGTTTGTTCGATGTCATCCAATTTTTCTATCGTGTTATAAAGAAGGTAGACTCATCGAATTCTTTCTTTTTTCTATTCTAGTTTGAAGGGATTGCCATTGAGCGCAGGGTTGTGCGGTTTCGAAGAGAAAACTTAGTTTAAACTCGTTGCGCCTGGTACTCCGACTATCGGCCTACTCACCCACGGTGGTCTCACCCTTTTTTTTTTTGAAGTTTGCGTTGCTCTTAGCCAATAAATGGGATAGAATGGAATTTTTTCTTTGAGAGGCACTATTGATGCACAGCAGTGTTCCAACTACTTCATAGCATTCACTCCATTTTCGTTTATATAAAATAAGCGCAAAAACTGTTTTGACAAAGGACATTGAGGTCGAAGGTCATCTTACCCGATATCAATACGAACATAAAAGTCATCAGCACGAGAAGCCCCAGACAGGTTCTGGGCGCAGTATTTGTAGGAAACTCTTACAGATGCCTACTGGCATTTCATTGTTTACTGATTTTTTCTGGTGAAATAAAATTAACCTACGTTGATGTCTAGCTAGTGGAGTATAATGACGACGATATTCATCTGTGTGTCAAATGCCATTGTACGCTAATATAGTTGGAATAAGAAACGCTTATAGGTGCTCCTGAATTGTAGAAAAGGCATAGCCAGAAGCTTCAGGACGTATCTACTAAACATACTCTCAAATCGTTGGCTATTTCCTACAACTGTGCGATTCCGTTCTTCATTCAGATCGATGTTACCCGATTTCCCAAAAACAACGGGCAAATAAATACTTTATGTGAAAATACAAAGTTAATAGTTTTTCAAACAATAAGTAGCGTTCATGTCTTACCAATAGTTTTATTAAAGGGCGCAGCACCAAACGGATCGACCATTTGGCTCGCGTTGTCACTATCAGTTGATAACGTCAAAGCAACAGTAACGTTTGATTTTGAATGATGTACTAAAGCTGGACCGCTTGGATCCCGCAAAGCGTCGAAAGCCTGACCAAAAGCGTCTCCTTCCTCGTTAACATTAGTTACAGCCAAAGAATTAACTGCCTTTGTTACAGCTAGATCCTGCAAAATGAATAAATTGTTAAAACAGCACAAGAAAGTTAGAGTTAATGCAAGACAATGTTGCTTTGTTTTTTTTCCATTTTTATTTCCCGTCCTAGGCCACCCCAGTATAGTTCCAGATTTAACGATACTGCAGGTTCAGGAAAAATACCCAGTCATGTCCCTAAGCCGCAATTCGATAAGGCGCTCTTTTTTCCTTGATACCGCCCACACCAGAGCCTCCCTCTTAGCCTAGCTGTTACGTAGCCAAGCGAAAGACGATGCGAAGTCCTTTATACCACCACGAAAGAGTGGCATTACATTCCGTGTTCTCCTGGCCCATTGCGCGCCAGGCTTAATGATTCAAAAGCGTCTTACCAATTTTGTAAAGGTAGTTTTAGCGAGTAATGAACTGTCTGAAATCGAGCCGTGCAGTCCAGGCCCCATTACTAAGAATAATGTTTTTCAAAGCCGCATATCTGGCGTTAATTTGGGCCTTTCATCCTATTTCTTCCGCCACATATCCATGATCATGCCTTCCGCATTGTCTATTGAATCAGTCCAAAATATGAGTCTTTAAAGGAAGACTCATTTCGGTCCCAGAAAGTAATTTCGGCTAGCACCGCATTCGTGCTAACTGTGCGATACGTTTAACTATACCTAAGCGCCAGCACCGGCTGCGTCCCTGTCAGCAGTTCTCATCATGCGTCGGTGAACATCTCCGGTATAAACAAAGCAGGGCTCTCGAAAAGCGCTATCGTCTCCGTGACAACCATATGTATTCGCCTCTTCCCTTGTCCGTTCGGCAGGATTCTGGCGATTATTATTCGTACTTCGTGCGTCTTTCCGGTGAAAGTATGACCTACCGTTGTAGTACTCATGCGTGGTGGAATCAAGTTAAAGAGCCTGATTTTTTAAACGCGACAACAAGGGGGCGAGCGTTTCTGCATGCCAATAAGTAGGATGGTTCCCGATAGGGACTCGGAGCCCTGATCTTTCATCCAGATCAGAACTTTGAGCCTGATTGGCTCTTTTCTGAAGTTCCGAAGTCACTCTTGCCTGCATAATGATCTCGAGATCGTTCGCATGAGTAATTCTTTCAACCTCAAGAAAAAGTCCCTCTGCTGCAGGGTACCATTATATGCTAGGATCTACAACAAAGACCTAGTATGGACCCTAAAGAATCCCGCCGCCATGAAAAAAAACTGTCTTCCCGTTGGTAGGTAGAATGCTGCTACACTTGTGCTGAAGAACATTATTAACAACATGAGTTACTTGCACACAAACAACTAACATATTGAAGATCTATTGCAATAAACTAAAACTGTGGCAAAATTAATATAATAATAGGCTTGGAATATGGTTTGGTCATGGCTGCTACACGAAATTACCAAACTGAAATGTTATTGTTATAGACTTCTACAATGCAAACTTCTACAAAGCAAGCCTGAAAATTTAAATTTATTTATTCAGCACGACCCATCGTTAAAATTTCGTCTTGATGTTAATATTACGTAGTATTATTTTCGATATCTAAGGCTAATCGAACATTTCGGTAACTTAAATGAAGCCAAGAACACCTTGTATTAAAGTGACGTGTCGCAATTCAGGGCTTGATACAATCATATCCATACCTTCTTGTAGTCAAAAGCTTAGCTGTCTAAGCTATTTTACCAAGGTACTCACATAACGATAATAGTCTTATATTATAGGCCTATGATGCATTTTGAACATCAGAAATGTGCCACTTATTGCAGCCTTTTTGATTCAATTTAACCTCGTATTAATTACTAAAGAAAGAAACTCAAGTTAGATATCCAAAATTTGAGGCAAACATTTAGGTTGGCTCAGCAAAAGGTAGATTACACCACTATGCTTTCTAAACGCTATCCTATGGCTAACGCGTGTCTCTATAAGTGCATTACCATGGGAATGATAACTAGCATGTTCAGATTTCGACGCTGTAAAAAAATGTTGCTATAAATTTTCAAAAAATATATATATATATGATGCACTTGCGGTGCACTCACTATCAGTCATAACGATAAGGGATAATGTCACGAAAATACGATACCTTTGTGTCGTTTGCCCTATATACATACACATCAAAAGCTTGAAATCGATGTACTTTTTTTTAATTCTCTATCAAATTAGAAACCGACGGCTTCTGCTACGTAGCGACCTACTTAACTCTATTCTATTCTGGCTAACGTAGCCCTAAGTTAGTCATAAAATATGGTCCAATGTAGCGATTTTTATGAAAAGCAAGTATCTAAAGCTTTGATACTAATTATTCCTAAAGCAAGCTTTCTTTTTTTAAAAAAAAAACTCAGTTGCTCACACACATTTAACTACACCACACTATCCTACAGATCTATGTACATACTCGTTCGTCGTGATTTAGGATTGTGGTAACTGCATTTTCTAGATCTTGAGGAGGGACAAACGTATCGTCAGCAAAGGGGTTCCATCCAGCAGTTCTCGAAGTTGATTCATCCACAGTGATTTCTAGTTGATTCAAAGATAGCGTTGCTGTTTCCGTCCACTGAGTCTCATTTGATGCCTTATGACATATATCTTCGCTCTCTGAATTTATAACGATGCTAGGACTTACGCGTTGGATAGCTGAAATTTGTCCTACCGATCCTGCTGCTTGTGATCCTGGACTAACTGTTTCAGATCTGCTGTCACCAACTCCACTAATGCCCTGCTGCCCTGCTGGAGCCAACAGAGGCAAACTAGAAATTTGGGGTAGTAAGCGTTCGCGGCCAGCAGAGGAAGTGTGACCCTTGGGCCTCTGACGTGGAGCTACCGAGGTGCCTGATAGGGACGACGATGTAACTGATGTGGTTTCACGCAATGTACATCTATCGGTACGGGGAGTGGATGCCTAAAAAGCAATCATTAGTTAAATAAAACATTAGTTACTGAAAAAAAAGATTTAAGTTTATTTAAAACGTACAACAGGTCGTATTGGTCGTTCAGTCTTTTAATCGATGTAAAAGTTAATCGCGGAAACAAACGCCGGCTTGTTCACGATTTAGAGCGTATGCCTATTGTATGCGAAGTCAAACTTTCGATTAATATTGATCACCTAAAGGCGGATCCCAATGTAAAAAAGAATGCTACCATGCTCTTTTTAAATGACCATTAAAATTTAATTCTCGTATTTTAGAGTAATTTTCGTATTCTAGAGATCGTGTACGACTGCGGATTCGATAAAGTACTAACAAAAAGACTGTACGCGTTCCGGTAAAATGGTTAATGCAGGAGTGGCTAGTTGAGGATCTGAAAACTGAGTAATTACACATGGTTGTTTTACAGTTCATATTGTACAGCGGCCCGTTGAAATATTATTCCTGGTTGCGTTACTAAGAGTCCAACACATCTCAACACGAAAACGTCGACTCACTCATGAAGGCACAATTGGAAAGGTAATTTTTCAACAAGTATAGCTCCTCAAACTGGGTCCAGGTAGTGCTATATCTGCCTTTCATGATTTCGTGCGAAGGAATCAGTCATCACAGGGAAAATACTTCAAGTACCGAAACCGAATTATTTTCTGTTGCGTAGTATAGAACAGCCTTTGAATGGCCTAGGCACTGACATATCAACAAGTTACATCTTGTTTGAGAAATGACGAAACGCAGTAACAATGTACAAATTGTCCTTTGTTTAACTATGCGTTATGCCAATAAAGTTTTCAAATTTTTTAAAAAGCAATTGCACGTGGCAGGTTGTTCACAATAACGACATGCGATACAACAGGTTCGAAGCTGCAATGCCTTAGTTTAAAAAATACGCGCGTTCTGACTAAGCTGAATCGTATCCTGAAACCACTTCATCCTCTTAGTTTCCCTGCAAAATTAACATCAACGGCATCAGACTTATATGCTTGAAGCGTAGTAGCTTATTCAGACCCACCTCTACCTAGCCCATGTGAGTGATCATGTAAGTTATTACATTAACTTCTATAAAACGTTAAACTAAATTGTTTAATTGTGTGCATCTAAAGGTAGTATTAATATTTTAAGTCAATATTCCCTAACTAAAAAACAGAATTGCCTATAGGACCCATTCTCCCGGTATTTATATATAGACCATTACCACTATATCCCACGCAAGCCGTGAGATGAAATACATATATACAGGATTCACCCAAATTTAGACAGAAGGTTTTTTGTTTAAAGTTGTTTTTAAAACAAAAACCGTTGTTCTACTGACTATTTTCGCATGTGCAATAAAAGTCCTGACGGTTATATCTAACTTAAACAAGCTACTTTTACTTCGATTACAGCTTTATTTCGTGGCCTGAATTGATTACGGAACCATGTAGTAACTAGACGAAGCTATGCAACGCTATAAGTTGAGTCAAACTCAGTGTCGTTGACAGAAACAAATGGGAAAGGTCGTCAAAACAGCCCCGCAAGAGCTTCAATAGATTTCTTTTGCACTTGGAAACGAAATTCTTAATACATTTGAGAATGCTGAAAATCTCGAAAACTGGCTGAATAACTTCTTCTACACCACACTAAGAATTCTGGTGGGGCAACTTAAGAGGTAGAAAAAATACACGTATTAATTTGCTCTTAAAATTTTGACAAAACGCTGTATTTACCAATTAGAGGAAAATTGAAAATTACTTATACCCTAAATAAATATCATGATCCTTATGGGACGTTCTCAAAATGTATGTGATTTTTAGACTAGAGCTTCCAAACTTCCGCAAACGATTGTCGATAATAATAACAATAATTTAATATTGCGTGAATTTTCCTCCAGTGTGGCAGAAATGCGTATACTGTAGCAATTCGGCAGTGAATAAAACCAGAAAATAGAATAAAAAAATTTTCAGGAAGATCTGAATAAACATTACTACTAATTTTTTCAATAAAAAGAAGACTTACAAAATTGAAGCCGCATTTGTGCAGGTAAACGTAGAGTGAACACCAAATAAGAATAACTGCGGTTAAATATTGGCAAAGATACATTTTTTGAATAAATAGATATATATCAACCGCTGTCAATCAAGAAGCTGTGAGAACAGTTTTGCAAAAGTAAAACTAAGTAAAGCCGTCTTTGTCTGTTGTCATTGACTTGAATAATTTTGCTCACTGATGTTATACCCTGCCTAACGTAAACTACTGTAGCTCAACGATGTATCAACAGTTACTCTGTAGCTATTTTGCTCACTTACTTTGTTTCCCTCCCTTCAGTAACCCGTTTTGCCATTAGAATGGCGCTGCCGCAGTCATATGATCAGCCTAATCTAATAATTTATTGCTGTTATACCTAACTCTTGAAATAAATTATAAACAGTAATCAATTATGTGGTAAGTTTCTCATTTTTTGTTCACGACCATGTTACCTTGGTGATATGTTATTTTATCACACTATTTTAGCGACTGCTTATTTCGGTTAAAAGGTCCTAGTAAACGCAATTTCTTCCTTAACGCATTTCATTTTAAAGAAATTAATGAGTCCGACTTCACAATTGCTAATACGATCCCAAAGAGATTTTACTCCACTTGAACGTGAGAAATTCACCGTCGGCCGTGCATATGGCGCCAGTGTGAGGCCTTTGCTAAACCAGACACGCTATCCTGTTGAAGTTCTCCAACTCTGCTATTAGAACGTTGTTGTAATCTCGACTGCTATGTCTATCCCGTTTCCCCTTTTTAATTAAGTAGGCAAAAGGAGTTGATTTGCCCAAATTAACATTACGCCTCCTTCGAGAGGAAGGAACTACCATCAGAAAGGTATTCGTACACTTGAAAAACGTAACTTACGTTTTATACTTTTTTACCCATTTAAGCGTATAAAAGTGAAACATCCGAGCATTTCATTAGTTATAAGCCGTTTCGGCAAAAACACCATTTTGCTACAAAAAAACAGGTAAAACTTACTTTTCTATTTCAATGCTACAGTCATCCTAACGACATTTAAAAGACCAACAACTCTACAATATGATCCTTCCGAAGCTCTTGATGGCAGTCAATCAAAAAATGAAAACTAATTGGGTAAATATTAAGTTTTAAAGTAGCTCCGCCACGGTATTTATCCAACTGAATCTATTTAGCGTGCAACTTTTCCCAAGGTAAAAGCCTAGTGACCCAAGTATCGGCCTAATACGACTGCCTTACGTAGTCGATTTGGCTCAGATAGGCAGTCAGATACAAACAAAGACGCACTGTTAGTAATATAAATATAGAAAAATAGGTCATAGTAAATGTTAATCGAAATTTCTAAGAGTCGTTTCTATATTCTTGAGTTCAAAGTTCCGTAAAAATAATTTATTTAAATATTTACTCAAATAGTTTATTTTCCACTCCTAAGAATGAAAATGTATATATATATATATATATATATATATATATATATATATATATATAATCATAATTATTCTTATTTTTCGTGTACATTCGTGTGACTTCCCAGAGGGTAGTGTGAGCATCTTAAGATATACATGTCAAGATAAAACTAACTAAATTCCACAATACTTTCTAATGTAAACAACGATAAGTGAATTTTGGTAAAGTTCGTATAATTAAGCAATAATCTCACAATCTCATGACCTTAAGAATTGATCTGACTTTGCCACATTGGCCAAGGTGACATATCAGGCGTTCCTGGTTTACAAATGGAATTTTCGTTTGGTTCACGATATTCTTGTATGTCGTAAATTAGATGATGAGACCCATGAACTGCAAACCTAGAAGTGACATGTTATTTTACTTTATCGCTTCTAGTTGCTGTTGAATTTCACCGAACATTTTCATGACGTTTTTCATAAACGACAAGTCCTATTTTTTTTTTTTAGTTTTATGACCGCCGATGAGCGATAAGCCAACGCTTCTAGAAAATAAAACGATTGGCGGACTTCCTCTACGGATGATGGTGACAATGGTGGTGTTTCGTGTTTTTGTGTGAGGGTCGGATATAATTTTAGGAATGACGATTTAACTCTGTCAAGATTAATTGAGGGTTTTACCAAGCAAATTCCGTAAATGCAACCTTCAAAGCTTATATTTTGAGAAACGTCTCCCACTGATAGTTGCTACGGCTGTCTAATCAACGCTTACCTAGCTCTTTTTTCGATGTGCATAACGAAAGAATTGCTGTTCGTTTAGATGAAGCGAGTCAGTTTCACAAAACCTTACCCCCTTCTGATTACTTTCTTGCCTTTATTAATTTGGAATATAACGTCTGCAGCATAGCTACTCTTGTTGTTGTCATTTGTCGTCAATGCTTGCTGCAAATGGAATCGACCCTTAATGTACATTACGAGATCGTCAGGATATCAAACCAGCTTTATGGAGGGAACCGGATATAAACGCAGCTTTAAAATTGACCAAAACAGCATTTCCAATCTGTGCTCTACAAGCTCCCAATCTGCGTGGAAGTCAGACAGCGTACTGCGCAGCGCATCTCGGTAGTCCAGGTAAGCTGCTAGGCGTTGCACATATAGCACTAACAGGTTGATATAATTTATGAAGAGACTGTAGATACAATTATTTCTTTTAATAGCAGTGCTGTTTCCGCGGTTCCGTTGTATTAAATCTTTAGGCGATCCTAAGTCTGCAGAGACCCTTCTGTCTAGGCTAACGGTTCGTTTTTGTGGCTTAAAACGTTGCTATAATAATCGTTGAGTCAATCTTAATATTAGTAAAATTTTTCTGTCAAAATCCTTCTGAATCGTCTTGGCATTCTGCCATGGATATTTTTGTATTTCGGTATGTTCGAACGAATCCATTGTTGTTTTAACCACTAGCATAGATGGGAGAAATCCATGCTGGTGGTTAAAAGGTCGGAACCTTTGTCGTGGTCTTTCCGGGTCTCAAGCGGTCTCTTATTGACTACGTTGTGTACCACTACTTACCAGTGTTTTGATGAGCGATTAATGCGCACGGATCCTGCAGTCTAACAAGATAGCTGCTCGCCTTGCCATACTTTTAAAGCAAGCCTCTACGGCGTCTGACGTTATTGAGTAGAAGTAGGTACGGTGGATGCCTACTTTGCTAATCTTCTCAATATGGTATGCTTGACTACCGACGGATGGTGTTTCATTTGCGTCCCTGCACTCTTTACTATAACTTACTTTAGGTTCTGTAACGAAATACATTAAGCGGTATGGTCTATTTTCTTTCAGTTGTGTTACGAAACTTATAATGCTTGCCATGAATTTCTCCTCACTGCGCTCCGTCATAGCCTGCATGGAAAATCGTATGGATAGGACAACCTTCTTATAGAAGACCCGGCTTAAATTCGCCTTTGAAGTTAGGCGCAACGACACGAACTTATTTTTCAGCAAGTGAGCAAGAACTCGTTTCCTCTCTCAGCTGTCGAAGCATGATTCCAGCAATAAGTACTGTTTTCATCGGCTCGTTGTATTTTGTCGATTTAAATGTTGACACACATTTGGGTTATTTGTCATATGTCGCTTCTGTTTATTACTATAATTGCAACTGTGAGTAGATTTTTTCCTACCGCGGCATACTAGGCAGGTTACATATTTAATGATTTCACTTTGTAGGTATTTGTTGTATGGTGCCACCATCAACTAAGCCCATGTGAAGCTTCTTGCGGGTACTGAAAATAAGCAACAGCTTCAATTGCTTGGTTCTGTATATGATTCCCTTTCATCTTCAGTTAGACGTGAATTATAAAACTACCTATTATGTAAAGTGGTTCTTTCAAAATTTCTGCGTAAAGATACCACTTATTGAGCATCGCCCAACACCGAACGTCAATCACTAATAAATCAATCAGTCACCGCATAACCCGTGGTATGAATGTTTAACAGATAGATAAAACGGAGTTAGAATAGTTTGTACTAAAGAAATGACAGCAAAAGGGAAAAAAGGAACGATGACACAGAAAATTAATATTCCGCGACCAGCGAGGGGTGGAGGACACGGTGACGAAAATTTCTTACACGCTTGGATAGATTATGTTTTAATCAATGACGCATTCAAGCAGAACCAAAGTCAGTGTTTCGTGATGTTCATTGCATATTTTACATCAGGCTTGAAATCGATTTTTTTATGCTGACAGAGCGGATTCGGCAGGCTAGAGACATTGCGCTTCAACGGAAAGACTATAGGCACTCTTAAATATACAGTTGCCAATTGTCATATGTCACAAGTGTTTATTCGAAACCGTAAGCCAAAGAGATGCGGAAATAGCCAAAGAGTTTAGATAACACATGAGTCAGCAAGCGGATGATGTTTCTGCAGTACGTCAGAACAGAGAACAACTATACAAGTAATAGCTAAACAACTTAAGTGCCGTACGTAAAACAAAAAATTGTAGAGCACAAGGCAATGGAAAAAATGGCCAAAAACTAGGTGATACAGGAAACAAATATAGTGACAGGTCGAAAATGAGAGAAAACAGGGGCAGTACAAACGTATTTGAATATTAATGCTAAAATACGAATATAGAACTCTTAAAACGAAGGAAAATAGTAATGTATGGTGGTTATAATGAGAATACGCAACAACGAATACAGTAAATCATAGGAGTTCGTACATATGCATGACAGTATAATGCTTTCCCCAAGTACACTACCCATTTGAGCTTAAGAAAGTTATGTTCTTGCAGTTGCCACGCTAGTTAGTAATACGGTTTATGTTACGCCGCTGCATAGAAAATCTTTTTTTTCGTATTGCTGTATATGACTTATTATCTTTAACTATATAGTGCACACATATTACATTTGTAACTGTACCATAATATATAGAGATATTACGAAAAGTGGTTAATTTAAAGTGCCCGCCTTAGCTTCTAAATTACCAGAACTCTTTAGTTTTGAGAGGTGCGGCTTTGTGGTCGACATTTTGAATAGTACGGATGCATGCCCAGGTTTACGGTAAACAGCTGGCGGCCCTAAGACGCAAAGTGGCATAATCGGGTGCACTGGTTAAACCTTTGTCGCCTATACGTATTCAAAAGGTCGACATATCGCTCAGCTTTTTGTATATTCAGTCGTACCGCTGGTCAATTTTACGGATCGTAAAGTCAGCTTTATTGATGGTGCGATTTAATACAGGTTTCAGGGTCTCACTAGGTCACCCATATTACTTGTGCATTGTTTTACTGCACTTCAATACAGTTGCACGAAGGTTTTATTCTTTTACGGCGCACGCGATTTTGTGACAGAGCAGCTATCCCGACATAGGGAATCAGCCAACTGCACGGGATCCTTAACTAGTTTTTAATAAAGCGTTTTGTCTCTTGCGCCGATTTGAAATTATGAGGATCAACGTCGAATTTCAACCCCCTTGCACCTTTTATGCCACTGGAGTAATTTAGGTTGAAATCATGCCATGCTATTAATCAATAGTACTGTTAAGTGAAGCGCCGGACTGTATCAGGGTGAGGGGAATAGGTAAAGGCCCTGGTGGCAATAAGTGCAACTGCCAAACTGAGCCCTACAATCAGCCCACAGAGAATAGGTTCTGCCTTGGTGGCGCCCATACGTAAAAATAATACTGAAACCTTTGTAACAATTGCATGCGATTACGAAAGGAAGACGTTTGTTTACATACCAGAATAGGTATACTTATATTTAGTAATGAAAATATCGTAATGAACATTTATGTTTACACTTTATAAGTAAAAATTTCAATGAAATGCTGGCGTGCTTCTGTTATTTAAGCATTCCACTAAGTAAATAATGTCGTGATTTATACAAATGGAAGATTGAAAGAAGAATGATTGCGGTTCACCTTTGGTTGAGGCGAGGTGGATATCCCAGGAGTTGGTGTAACCAGCAAACCGGCACGATCAGCACTGTGTGTGATAGCCTCGGTGATATGCGGCATTTTTTCTAGGTCGGGCTTGAGAGATTTGCTGAGGTTACGAACTGGGCATTCACGACCAGCAAGACTAAACGCCACATACGATACCTGCTCGTGATGAATCCGAAGACAATCCAATTATTTACATAACGTAACCCAGAGAATACCTAAGAGTAGCAATATGCAAAGGATGCACTGAAAATGTACAAATTATCTAATCAGCTTCGTAGTCATTCGAATTTAATACTGGGTACAAGTTATATATTCTTGATGATAGCACTCCAGTACTTATATTTAGCATAAAAAAAACTGAATAGCTCGTATTATTTTTATGAGTACTTCGACGAAATTACTATCAGGACCAGTAAGTCAAACCAATCGTGTACTGAGTGAGCAAAAGGGTGCATATATATATATACACTTGACGCTATTAACGTGCTATTTTATATTATTATAATTAATAATATTATATTAACTCCAATGATTCGGTAACAGTTTATACACTAGCTATTTGGTCTTAATTAATTCTGCACTTCGTTACAAAAGAATTGGGCTGACACAGGGCAATAAATTGCGCACATCACCATAGTTTTACTGCGAGAACGTCTATTGGATCCCACCAACTTTCCTCGTTACCTTTTATAGTGCACCGTGCATTCATTTGCTGCAGGAACAAGGGATAACACCCCATGTTCATCGTGACAAACGATATGATTTTCAGCGTGCTTCAAGCGGACAATGTTCCTTCCAGGCGCGAATTCCTGGGAATGCCTTGAAAGGGCAAGATTTGACCATGCGACACCCTGAGCGAGAAGTCGATTACTAGCTAACGCAGCGTTTGTGTAGCTTCGAGCAATCTTATGTCACAGAATGCAATCGAAGGTACAGTTACACCACCAGAAAGGCAGGGGAAAGGAGACTGAGTACCCACATCGTGCAGCTAGTAACAACCGAGGTGTTGCGTGCTACACCGAAAAATTTGCAAACATTATGAATAGCGTTAGCATATACAGGTGACCCAACAAAAAATGTTCAACGAAACTCTTTCTGTTAAAAACAGCGAATATCGTTAGGTGCAATATGTAGCAAGTGGGAAACACAGTATCAATAATAAACCCTTTCTACCATTGATGTAAGGTTCAATACCATAAAAATTTGAAATAAAAGAACTAAGTGTTCTAGGATTCAGATGTCTTGGCACTAATATACCGATCTAAATCACACTGATCCAGATCTCTCTAAGGTGACCCGAATCTAGCCTCATCCTGATGCCATAACCTGTGTTAAAGCCAAATTAAGTTATACCTTCTGAATCTCGATAACAACTTGTGACAGACACCATGATAATAATAAAATAGATTCCTCTCTAATGAGTCACCAAGAGAATACTGTCATTAGGTTATCGAGTGTCACTTCGTTTAGTAGAACCATATAGCATAAGTCAGCATGGAAGCGTACTTGAAGTGCTTCACTGGGTGTTTCGTTCGCACTGACTTTCTTGTTAAACTATAAAGTCTCAAGCGCCTGCTAGATTTTTTGCACTGTAAACAGATGCCGCTCATCATTATTATCCTGGCTCATAAAATAGAAATCGGCTTTGTCTATGATATGGGTTTCTAATAGTTCAAAGTAACTTTCGTGGTGTTAAGTTACGTTCCTTGACATACTGTCCTGCATGCATTAGGGAGTCTGTTTGCCGTTGGTTAAACCTCTCTTTTAAACTTTTCAGGGGAAACACAATAGGAGTCGAATCCGAGGTTGTGTTGGGGAATTTCGATGAGATTTTGCGCGTATATTCCCTGTCAATAACATACGGTATAAAAAGCCGAAAAATCCTAGGAGCTGGTTTTCATTTTGATTTTGAATTAGGAGTCTCGTTCTTACTGTCCAGTATAGGACTTATTCATGCTACGATATTTCTTACCGTAATGACACGTTTCTGCATGTTTTCACCCTTCCTTAAACGATTTTCTCCGACAAAGCTGTTTTTTTAGCTACGTCTCTTAATATAAGTTGATTGGATTTCCAACTGTACAGGTGGGCTTGACGGGCCAGTTCCCCATATTTCAATTGACTCTTAGGTATCACTGTTTTAAACTGGCGCCGCGAGCAACGCTAGTGTTTGTAGCAACCTATCAACAATGCGGCAGGTACTCTGCAATGTACTTTGGGTGTGCCTGTAATGAAGGGCCCGGACGCAAGTTTTGCTAACAAGTTTGCCAGTGTGATTATTACGAAAAGAAATCTACGATTGTTGGAGCGACCAATGGATGAGCGAGTGGAGGTCTTCAATCACTAGTTCATGGCTTCGGATGTTACCAGTTATGGAGAGCTTCACTTTCTACAATGGACATTTTGAATCAGACTAGGCGATGTACTGATTACATTTACAATGCAACATGCACAATTTGAAGCTGTCCCTGAATTTTCATCTTACCTTATAGCTGGCACGTGAAAACTATATCCTAGCCCTATCACCATTTTTCAGAGATTGCTCGACACCTACGTAAACCCTTTATTTAAAAGATGCATTCACTCACGGCATTCATGGGGCCACACTTTTTTCACGCGAAAACATGGTCATTGTTTTTTCTGTTCCTTTTTCTTCTGGCGATTGTTTTTTGTGCTTTTTATACCCTTCCTTTAATAGTAAGTGAAAATTCGTTTGGATACATTTTATTTTTTGAATAAACGGCTGAAAAGTGGCTTAAGTTTTTATAAGTTAGTGCTTTACATGACTAAGTGCCCTACTACATTAAGCACTGGAACTGTATTATACCTTTGATTGACAAAGACTGATACCATACCAAAGTGGAAAACTTAGACGGATCTTAAAACGTCAGGTAAGTACTTCAGTAATGATAAAACGCAATGGCCTTTGGCTAATGAGCAACAGAAAATACGCTGCAGTGACCACACCAACACATATACAGCTCAATTGTCACTACGTTTCACATGTTATGCTTAATAGCTATTTCTTGTTAATGAATCTTATATCACTGGTAAAGAACACTATTTGCCATTGATAAAAAGATAAGACTTCACGCAGAGTGGAAGCGGTCACGGAAGAAAGTCAATCGGATGAGCGCGGTAAAGGATTAACTGAAAGCTACAGATGTGTGCATTTTAGAAGGACACTGAAAAATATGGATAAATTTCATTCGATGGGAGCATCCAACTAGAAGCATTATTGTAACTCAGATCCACGAACAACGTTCACAACGCGCATAAATATTCTATGTAACGCATTATAACTATTAAATTGTACTAAGATATATACATCTATTATGTGTTACACTGTTATTCTCCCAAGAATTTAGGGCAATCGCAAACAAAAGAAAGTGCACCATATTGAAATATATATAAAGCTAGGTGCTGAATGTATAATAAATATGAAGTAACAAAACAATTGTCGTTTTTATCAAGTCAGTTTTTGCTATAGTTTTTATTTTTTTTTGTTTTATTTTTGTCACGCTTGCTACTTCTTTAATACCTATTTCTATATTAAAGAAGTATAGTACACCTTTATATATTGTAATATTTTTGTTAAAATTTATATTTTTATGTACAGGTATTCTACAGAAATTTCCCTTTATTATTTTATAGATTCTTTCACTAGAATTTTCAAGGAACTCCTCAGGGAACTATATCGACCACGTTTTGCACATAACGCTTCCTATTTCATTTTAACAGATTTTTTAAATAATTCAGTTTCAATTCTACAAAACCAAGCCTTGTGGTTTTTTTTATCGGATATATACCTGGTATATGTCGGGCCGAGCTTCGGGGTCCACTTCAAGGCAATATCGGATAAGTTGGTGCAGCTGTGCCGTGTACGTGGATGTTGAAGGTATCGTGAACTGTCCGGAAGCAATCGCAAGTGCACTCTCTCCAAACGGGGTAGTGAAAAAACAAAGTTTGTATAACAGGCAACCAAGGGCCCAGATATCTGCCGCGGTGGAAATAACTCGACCTCCATAGAAATCTATCATTTCGGGCGCTCTATAGGCCAAAGTCGTGTATCGGTTGATCTCTTCTTCGATCTATAATATAAAAAAACAAAAACATTATTAATAACCGATAAGTACAGTAAGAGATAAAAAAAAGTACCAGGTTAAAGGACACGAACATTTATAACAGGAGTACAGCAAGGGGCGAAAATGACCAAGGATGGCAGCATTTCCTTACTATAATGCATTTAAAATCTGTAAAAGCAGTCCCCATACAAGAACAAGCGTGGTTTTACTAAACAGCTTTTCGTTATACACATTTTCTAGGAAAGTAACCTCACATTTAGGATATTGTAATAACAAAGTTCACCGTCTTTAAATATAGCCTTTTTGATAAAATATATTCATTAGTAATGTACATGCTTAAATATATGGCTAAATTGCCTTTCATCAATCTATAAAAGGGACAAAAGCAAATTAATTTTATTTGTTTATTGATCGAGGATTAAATTCGCTTTAGATCCATGCTCGATCTAAACCTTATTGTGCTCTCGGCTTGTCAGTTTTGTCTAGCTTAATTATACGAAATGTAAAGGAAAGGAGGCTGCGGTTACACCGCAAAACATATGTGTTGTAAAAGGTAAGCTATTGGTACAGTTGCCAAGTACCAACTGTTGTGCACACCGGTTTTTATTGAATATGGCATTAGTACTTCTAGGTGAGTTCACGAATATGGCATTGATATTTCTGGATGAGTTAACGAATATGGCGCTAGTATTTCTGGATGAGATTTTCATGAACAATGAAAAACACGAAGTGCCGTGCCGTAATCAAGCACTGTGATTTGAATAGATTAAACTCAGTTTATCTGAAGATTGAGCTAAAACTACAAAATGACTCTTCCGCTTTATACAAAGCTGAAGAGCCATTTTAGCTATGTATATAGCTAAAAAAAGAGTTAGCGAATTAAATCACGGCTATTAATATAAAAAAGGCAGAAAAAGCAGTGAATCTACTAAAACGGTCTTCATAAGCGAATAAGATCTCAATAAAAATCAATGTGAGCATAGAAATCTCGCCAATCATCAATAACCAAAAAGTTTAATTTTGCAGAAGTATTCAGATCTCAAAATACTGAAAGCAGATTTATTGACACCTGTGCTTGTTATGGACAAAAAGTTGACCTGTGTTTTAAATTTGAATCTGTTAGAAAAAATTATGAGAATTGACATATTACACAACATGGCTGACAGCTGGATCTGTCACTATTTATCTGCATCCTAACAAAGAATGCCTATAACAAGCTAGAAAAGCTAGCCGACTACACACAATTAAGGACTTGTTGACAAGACGTCACGTCACACGCGGGATAATCTAGTTCGGCTAATCTGACATCGTGAAGAAGTATCAGGCGGTTATTATTGCATACTTGATTACCAACAATAGTTGACTGTGCATCAGTCAATCCGTGCTTATAATGAAACACTGAATGTGTATTGCTCTTTAAAGCTTGTATGCCTGAAAAATAATCTCAACAAACATCTTATTATGGCAGGACAAACGAGCCGTTAACGCTCCTATTTGCGATGAAAAGTTTTTTACTTTGATGAAAGGTAAAAAACTTTTCATCGCAATTTAAAATTATTCATATTATTATTATCAAATTTTAAAGCATTAAAAAGGCTCGATACATGTGAACCTTTGTTTTATCGAAAGAAGCTTTTTTCGGTTGATTCCCTTGATACATACAAAACCTCCATTTGAAAGCATTTTACAGATGACCATGAAGTAATGTGCGTTTACTATTATTTTTTCAGATCTAGAGTACAACTCTCTCAGTGGGAATGGCCTTTCCGAGGAAGCCCATCGAATAAGTATGCAAAAAAAATTATTTTCACAACATGACTTCTGCTGATTTAGGTATACTTTTAGAACCTTGTATATGGTGATTTTAGATTCCAAATACTGCAGCTACATAGCTGAATTTTTATATGCAAAACGGCACAGACAAGCATTACCAGGGAATCTGCACAATTATACTACTACAACACTACTTTATATATATATATATATATATATATACAATACTACTAACACTTAAGAGACGATGAGTTGAATTAAAAGCCTAAGTGCCTAATGTCCGGTTTCCGATATGCACCTACTGGCGCATTGTTTCCTCTTTTGTCCAAATAAATAAAAGTGGATTTTCTATTCATCTACATGTACAGAAATGCATTAACGATAGATCCTAAACCATCTATAAAGCGTAAAACATGAAAGTGGGAAAATCTAGGGCCACCGTTACAGCATTCAAAGTGAATATGCTGGCGCTGCTTAATGGGTGATATTCAACTAAAAGAGTACTCTTATTGCCTTGACGTCATTTAATGGCACATTCTACAAAAAATATCTTCATTAAAAAGAAGAATTCTTAAAATAAAACACAACATTGGTCAACATTTTAACAAAAAAAACCGACGAATCTTATTCGGACTACACGTTTTTTGTCAGAATAAAGTTATTATGTTTAAGCTAAATATTCAAGATGAGCGCATTTTAGAATTGCTGAATATTGAATCTTGTAGGTAAAAAGACGATGAATTATTTCGAATATCGAAGCTAAGGTTAAAAACTTAAACGAAGCTCGTGCACAGAGTGAAACTTTTGCACCATTCCTCTCAGAACACTTAATCGTCATGTAGGTGTCGAAACCATTTCTATTTATTATTAATATATAAATTTCATATAAATTATTATATATATATATAAATTATTGAGATGGCAAAATGCTGTAGACGCACGCACTTTGGCAAGTTTTATTAATTTGGCGTTGCTAGAAGAGGCTTGCAGAACATATATTATATATAAGGCATAGCATAGCTAGTGTACCTTTAAGAAGTACCTTTTATCTGAAGAAATAAAACGGTAACATTTTTTATCGCGTGAAGGTAAACTATTAGTTTATCGAATGTATGATAAATCTCAATAAGGACGCTGTAATATTGTCAATATATATAAAAGAGCCTTACATATGACTCCAACTGAAGATTGAATTGTGGGTACCCTATTTAGCTTGTTGAGCTTCGTGTTGACAGATCGGCATATGCTTACTAAAGCTGACCTAACAATTATTTTAGTGAACCAATTCGAGACAACAGTCTTTATGACTATAATTACCTGAGCGACGGAATGTTTGTTGGGGTTGAGCATTTTGGCCGTAGCTGATCCAAAATCGCATAAAACGTACGTCTCCGGAGGTCCATCGGTGCTTCCGCTATTGTTTGTCGCTACTAGAATGTTCTCGACCTATGAAACCCCAAAAGAAATTAGTGCTTATTTACCCTAAAAGTTGTTTTATAAAATGAAATGTTGAGAGCTTGGACTCCAAAACACATTTCGAAACAGATATGAGCATCTTATTGTTAATACACCATTTCCCAATATCATTGAGACTTTCCTGTAACCATCTATAACATTGATTTGTCAGCTTTTAAGTGCAATTTTTAAGAAAGAGAAAGAATAATAAATGCTGCCCACCGTTTTACGGAAATGGGCCTTTAACGAGGGTGTTGATTCATAGGGCTTTCTGCAACGTGCAAAAACATTTAAGTCTTTAAGCAACATGGTTTAACATCATCGATTCCAGAATAAGAACTTAAAACAAATAAAATCACTCGTCGTTTGTATCTTGAAATTGTTCTCTTTTTAGATTTGTAGACTGAAACAAGCTGTCATTAAGCAATTTGACGTTTCCTTTAAATTACACGAAGTTAGTAACTAAAGGTTTTTTTAGAAATATTATGTGCTTAGATGTATACTTAGATAGAGTGTTTAAGATCTGATCATGGTCCGAAAATCTGTATTATGTTATATATTTTATATATATATAAAATATATATTAACATATACATTATATATATATACAAAATATACACATACCTATATATATTAATGTAATATATAAAAGCAAACGAGATTCATGTTGCTTACTCATTAATAAAATAATGATATTTATCAAAGGCCCCTGACAATCAAGCCAACTAGTGTCAAAATCAAGAGCAGATAATTAACCTAAATTATCCTATATTATATTACTGCAGCAAACTCACTTTTAGGTCTCTATGTACGATTGGCGTCTGACAATGGTGTAATCGTGATACAGCTTCACAGACGTCACAGAATATCCTTAGCACCTGCAACATTAACACCCCAAAAACAATTAAAATATGTTCTACATCGTTGAATGTATTGGCGCAATCTCGAGGCATTAATGCGTTCAGGGTAAAAAATGCTTTCCGAGTTGCCCACCGTGATACAACTACCTGCACTTCCTGCTCTTATTTCGACGGTTTCCAATATTTTTTCAGTTACTGTCATATAAAAAGCTTAACATGTACTAAATGTGAATATACACAGTTTTTATTACATCGGTAGTAAACTCTCAAGGGTTTTGCCAAATGGTTCTCGTCTATCATCTTACGCACGTTTATTTCATTGAACCATTGAAAAGTAGTGATTGCTTTGGGTCGTGTATAAATTTTTTTGTCAGGTCACATATTGGAGGACAGATGCTTCTAGAAGAAAGGATGTCTTCAATGAAGGTCTTTTAACTAACCTTCAACAACACTGTCAAAGCCTAAAATGCGAACTTTGGTTATGCCAGAACTGCCAACCGTCTTGAATCCATAGTATTTTAGAGAATATTTAGAGCTTTGGGTTTATCACGAAAACACCTCAAGAACTGACTTAATTGTTACGTCACATTTCTATGACTCACTAAAGTTAGCTATACAAGACTTGATAACATGTCGTCCGTCTGCTACCTACTTTACAATATACACAAGATGTACTAAACGAGACGATGATGCGCGATTTATTAATTGAACAAACTAGTTGAACTGTAGTAGAGGAAAGTAACTGATGAAATGTAGGTAGCTTAGGTTAGAAGCAACGGAATACTAATCATTGGTAAATAATATTTTTACGGTATTTTTAGCCGACTCTCTTAAATAAATTCCGAACTAAACCTAACTCTAAAAAGCTGCTAGCAACTAACACCGGTGACTCAGTTAACAAGGACGAAAAGGGCTGCACTGTATGCCTGTCACACAGTAAATCAAGACTATCATGCCCAGCGATCGCTTTAGTCATTTGTCTTCTTCAAACGTAATTATTTAATCACAATTCTGTCCCGAACGAGTTGGTGGCTATGTAACGGCTTCACTGGAGGTATATATAATTATACGGCGTTTACATTATAGACGAAAGCGTATACAAACGAACCCATTCAAATATTAGCGATTACTCGCCCTACTATGGCATTAGAATTTAGTCTGTAACATAGCAGTTTAACCTTTATGGCAGTGAAATTATTTTCTGCTAAGTAAGGCATATTTTTTATAGTTCTTGTAACTTTTCCGTAAAGAAGGCAAACATTAAGCCTGCTATTGTGCGGTACTGCCTGTCTTTAATTTGTTTGACCAGCATAGGGTACCTCACTATGATCGTACCATGCACGTCTATACATTTCCCTTAGTCATTTCTGTCGCACACGTACCTGAGCACAAAAGAGATTTTCACACTTGTTCCCGTGAGGGAGTGCAACCAGGAAAACACGCACGTTATCCCTCACTTGAGACATGACTGCGCATTATCATAAAGTCTTCAATCATCGCACACCGTTCGCATGGGTGAAATAAAGCTAAAATGAGGGTATAAATATTTCATCTAGGTGCAGCTTAACGACTTAACGCCAATGTGAAAACTGGCAATAGGTCCTTAAAATCTCGTCACTCCTGTTCAATAACCGCTGATTATACCCCTCATGATTAGCCTCTGTGGATACCGTCTTCGTGCTTTTTACCGAGTCCTTTCCGTTCATAAGCATTCGTATCTAAAATTGGGGTTCAGAAAATACGAGGCCAGCAGCAGTTTGACCTAATCAGATGCTACTGACTTATCGATTTCGTGTTCTGTCTAATATGTCACGTTTTGTTATTTTACCTTATACTTAAAATAAGTGTCTTTTCATTTTATGCCAAACTTTGCTTTATAGAAACGTACATGGGAAGTAGCCGCCTAGAACCATTTTCAAAACAAGTGCCAACAATAAGGTACCAGAAACAACGTAATAAAAACATCAAACAAAAGAAGAGTACAAAAATAAAGTGACATTATTGAAGTAATTTAAAGACCGGTAAAATAACATTTTTTCCAGTCGAAGGAATCATTTTACCAGTGAATTCCAAAATTTGATCAAGAATAAGATCCGGTGGGAATCACGCTTGCGCTTACAAGTAGGCACATAACCATATGTTCATGCACACACCAGGACACACACAACTCACAAACCGGCAAATAGGCGGAAGAACGATGCAGATAAACTCCGATGACTCCAAAACCAACAAACAGCTAGCTTTTATGGCTACTTGCAACGATCCATTTTCACAGAATGCTATCACACAACGCTCCTAAATAGAGCTATTCCGCTATCAGCAAGAACACCCTTGATAAAATTACAAACTCCAATTATTAGCTTAGTATTAATTATTATTATCAATACCAACTACAAATTAGAACTACACCTTAGCTGCTTGCAACACCACCAACTTGCAAGCTTGCAATCAACACACGAAAGCCACCTTAGTTTATTAAAAATGGCAGCCTGCGTACTCCCGCAAACAAGCAATATTTCTATTACTATTCCCGTTTCAGTCCAAGAATAATCTTACCTAAAAACTTTCTATTATAGTGATAAAGCTGGGAGAACCTGTATTGAACTATAATTCCGCCCATTCAGTTGAAAATTCGACGCGAATGAGATCTGGAACAAACTTTAGTTGTGTCTTTCCCGTTTAAGCTAAGCCTTCGACGACCTGACGTCTTAGGCCACAGGCTTTATCCTCGCTGTTTAGATAGATACTTTATTGTGAGTAAGATATTTGAAAATCTTCTCGCACGGATATCCAGATCAGAGCACACTAGATATGCGAAGCCTTCTTATTCTACCAACGTTCCCTTGTATGGCGGTTCTATGAAACTTTTCTATGAAGCTTGGTGGACTGAGCTTGTCACATCTAGACTTTTAGCTTAAAAATGGAAATGTCACAAAACCTAGTTTTGGCGGTTTTTCGGATTTGTAAACCATAAATATGATGCTCTTGGATACTCGTAAGTTTACTTACGCTTTTTCTCGCATCTTAAGTTCGCTGTAAAGAAAAGTCGAAGCAGCCATCAAAGGCTAGGTCGACAATGGTCATCTGAAACCACGAGAACAGTTAAAGCGTTCCCGTGGTTAACACCTATAGATTATTATTGGGTTTATATAAGCTTATCTTAATTCACTTACCCCACAAGACATGGTGGTTTTGCGTTTCGTTAAAAAATAATAAATATGATCTTAGCAAGAGTCCTCAGTAACTTGAAGGATCTGCTAATATGATAATCGTGAATAATATGATCCACCGGCCGTGTCCAAGACTGACGAAAATCGCCTTTAAGTTTTAAAAAAGTTCTTTGCAGACTTTAATTATAGCCTTAGAATTGATCCCAAGATACAAATTTAAGAAAATGTAAAGGTCGAGTTTTATGGGGACAGGGAAGTGCCCATAGAAAATAAAAGCGTAATGCCAAAGTATTTTGCCCGGGTTCTTTCAATTATTGGTCAACCATAATTGTGTAAAAATTATGTACTTAAATAAAGTTGCTAAGCTTCTATATAACCTGCGAAATGCAAGAATACATGTTTCGTAAATACAGTAATATGAAGTGGCGATAAAAATCTTGATTTTTTTACATGAAGTTGCCACATCTTCTGATACAACAAAGCCGGTTTTTCCAGCAATAAATAGATCGCCGTATATAATACGGGCAGTTTTTTTTGCAAAATTAATTTTTTTGTGAATAGAAAAATGGTAAATATCGAGTAAGAACGTGGCTTCTTCAAATCCAAGTGATTTCGCCTTTGAACCCTAACCCAAGATATTTAAGGGAGGCGAAGCAAAAAAAGGCTTTGTATAATTAATGGTTGGTTTGACGACACTTGATTTATACTGAAATTAATCTCTCTCATACTTTACTTGTTCATTATTATTATAAGCTAATAAACTAACTTAGAATATTAGACGAAAGAACAGAGCTTCTTATACTTGCATTTGTTCTCACTTTCTCAGCCAAAGGAGTTATTTGCAGCTCATTAAATATTTCTCGAAATACTTTTTCACATCATTTTATACACATTTTGGCAAGTAATAGCAAGATGATAGAGTAGTACTACATAGTTCCGTCTGACTTTCTTTTATATACAGTCATGCTCTACAGTCGCCCTCAGTAGTAATCACTAATTTCTAAACGCGCAGTACTTAAAAAATTATGACATTTAAATTTTTTCGACGCTACAAAGCGTTTGAAATACCTTTTGCTGCGAAAAGGTCTGACCTGCTGCAACTCGATCATTCATCTGCTGTAATACGTGGCCTTTATAAAGATGCATCAGCAGCAGCACTTCATACACTCCATTGCCAACACTAGTAATACTGCTGTCCACGAAGCCTGCAAAACAAATAAGCAAATTTGTTGTAAAAATTAATCAGTATTCAGTAACCGCTATTTTGGGTTGTTTTTCACACAAAAATTGATATTTTTCACATTATCAAAAATTTGGTAAAGATGAAGTTTAACAGCCAGTCAGCCTAATCAGTAGCTCATATTACGAGTAAAAAAAAACAAATTACTAATAAACGCTCGCAACTTATCGTAATGTTTTCATTTAAAAATTTTGTTTTCATTTAATCTTCACACACTAAGATTCTCAAGATTATTATAATGACGGCTTAGATATCATTCCCACTTTCCTCTATAGAAAATAAAATCTATTTCAAATGAAATGGTTTAAAATGTGTTTAATGTAATGTTTTGTTAGCCATGCAGTGAACCTAGTACCTAGAAACGCTTGCAAGGATGCAATATTGCGTAGTTGCTATAGATAAAAAAATCTACGGATTAGTAGTTAACTGACAAATAATTCTCAAATTGTAACTAGGATAACAAAATTCTGCGGGTACATAAATTCGACGATTCGCGATATAATTGGAATTCGAAAAAAACTGATCGTTTATGTTAAAAAAACAAAGTATTGTATGATATTTAAATATTAAAGAAGTCGAATTACTCTTAAACACTACACTTACAGGCATATGTATATGTATAAACAGGAAGGTGCGTTCGAATTGAGGATAGCTTTAGGACTCTGTTTATTGTAGGGGGTAAGCGTTTATTCGCTACGCTCGATATCAGACGAAAGCCAGTTTTTTTTTAGAATAACAAACTTATCATAGAAAAATATAGTACGTAGCTACCGTTAAATATTGCCACGCTGGACGAGTTCTCATAAAGATTAAGAACTTACTTGTTTGCCCGAAATCAAGGGTATATGTTATTCATAGTTTTTCACGCAGCTTCTGAAAATCCGAGAAGGACTTTCCAAAATTTTCAATAGGGTTACATCTACAGCCAAATTAATAAATCAATCAAATTAATTAAAAAAGCTATTTTTAATACTTCTGGGCTATTGATACTGAAATTAACCGCCGTTTTCTGTAATAACAATATCACATTCCGATTCAGTCATTCAGACAGGCTCCAGCAATACATTTTTGTGAGACGTTAGGAGTGACACTTCTAATGCATGCAAAGTGCTTTGAAATATCTGGTTTTATCTAGTTACAGTTTATAACCATTAATTAGCCAACATGAATACGAATTGGGGTTGGTTTCTAAGAATACTTAAGATTTCTTCCCATTCGGTCTAAGGAATAATTACTGCTATGAAGAATATTGCATTGCACTTTGTGAATAAACTAACCTATGATATTTTTATGTCCCGAAAGGCTGGACGCGATCTGGATCTCACGCTTGCAACAAGCGAGATCGTGGTCGTTATTTACAAATATTCTTTTTAAGGCGTAACGAACACCGCCAGAACCCTTCACAAGGAACACGAGAGCAAAACCACCTGAAAGAGAAGAAAGTGATATGAATTGAAAAAAACGATCCATCAAAGCAAATTTCGGCAAAACGATGAACAACTTAAGGTTTATAAAACATGTGTTTCCTGTCTGATAAAGTCCCTATTATTATATTCTAATAGATCTTATAAGGCGCTAGCAAGAATAAATTCATAGATTTCTCAGAGTTGACATTTAGAATTATCGGATATTTTTGGGTGTTTAACTCTCATTTGTTGATTAATCGTGCTTGGAAGCTTACATTTAAAAACCACTTTTTTATCAGTGATATGTATTACCACTGCTGCATTAATTTCAAGTGTTCTTCTAAATGCTATATTGGCAAAGCGAAATCAGGTAAAGAGACATTTGTTAAAAAATAACACACGCTTGGATCAATGGATAAAATTATTTTACCCAATATAACAAATCTATCGTCGCTGGGGTTGCATATGGCAATAGGTCCAGTTGTGAACATCGTTTTTTTTTCAAATTATTTTTATATGTATCCATAGGTAAGTTGCAGGAGCCAAAGAGATATATCCAAACAGAATTTTTTTTTTCGAAAAAAAAGCAAGGAAGCTCTCACATCAACTGAATATTCATTTTAGCATTCAGGTTAGGCATGCCCGCCAAAGGCTATATCTGGGATACGAACAAAAATCGGTCATAATTGTGTTTTCTTTTTAATATTCTGAGCAAAAAGACATACACGCTTTTTGAATTATTCTCGTTGTGCATGCCGTCAAACACACCATTCAATCAGTATCACCGCTAATTGAGTGTCATTGCACTCAAAGCGAAATCGTGAACGTCATTTATAACAACAATTGGGAACAATATGACCTAGGTATGTTTGAATTCGCTCAAATGCTACTAACATTTGCACAATAAAAGTCTTAACCATCCAAAACCGACAAAGAACTAATTATGCGGAGGATCCACTAAGGTAAAATTGTGGAAGTGTACGTGTATATAAATACTGTATACAGTAACTGGGAACAGCATATACTGTCGATTTAGAGTAACCAAAAAAACAAAGGATAATCTCAGGACCAACGCACACTTTTTTTTAACAATAGCTGCTTTCAAGGCATATTTAACACACTTATTTGTCGCTGGCCATGCTGAGCTATGTTTTTATCCTGGAAATGACGTGCTTTCTGAAACTTCCATTTGTTGGTGGTAGTGTGTTGCTTTAAAATGGAATTTTAATTCTGAAATTGCGCAGATATAGTTCTCATACATTCTAGTCGAGACACCAGTCTGCATTGTACATAAGCATTTCCAACTGTAATTTTCGGCTAAACGCTTATGTAATGTTCGGTATCATATACCATCACAAACCGCAACCTACCTTCGGCGATGACATCCTCGACTTGTACGGCCGTCCGTCCAACTTGAAAGGTTTTCCCCACAAAACTGCCCCCCACACCCTCTTTGGATTCGGTTTTTTCATTTTTCCGTTGGAACAATTTTTTCATCTCGAAACTCTTTCTTGCATAAATAACTCTGCAGTCCGATGTTATCTCAAACGCGTCTGAAGGTGCCTGGTAGACTTTTTATGGGTTAACGGTATATTCGAATTTATTGAAATTTCTTTTTTGTCCAAGAGGAATACATGACAAATTTTAGCGCTACAATAAATTGGTTAAATCTTCTGAGCAAGCAAAAGGGTAAGACATCATGATGCATATGATAACAGTTGATCGTAGCATCATTTTTATTGGAGTAGTTTTTCATTAAATTTTTGTATAAAATGTTGCTCGACGCATAAATTGTTTGAAGTCCTTAGTAGTGATTTACGGCATAGTCCGGTTTTATAACTGATGTCCCAATTAATCATCTGAATCATCCTTGTTATTCCGAGGAAACACATATTAAATTACAAGGTTTTACAAATGGCCATTTTCTTGCCGATGGTAATTTTTTTAAGAAAACTGCCTGGATTATATACTGGAATTGAGGTGGCGACTTCTTCTATAATTCTGCCGTTTGCATATACCAGTTCAGTAAAAACAATAGACAGCGCTTATCAATTCAGTTGACCATTAAGAAATAAATATAAGAATGTCAATCATGTCTTCATAATGGCGACGGTTTTATCTGAACAAGCAGGGTTGCGCATGTTATGCGCAAACTGACTCAGGAATCTTGTTTTATTTAAGTCGTAATGGTCGCTATCGTTTACTTAAATCGTCCAGTTATATTTAGCAGATCGTGACTAATCTTTGTCTAAAGCTTGCCCGCAGGACCATATCCACAACTTCATTTACGAAATAGGCGGTGTGCAGTTAGCGGGGGGTGGGGGGCGCGGGCTACGCAGTCCACACCTTAGTACGCACTAAGCACTGCCAATATAGCCGTTCGAATATTGATTTAGTGATGGCAGATGTATTCCGATTAATAGTTCCGTCTCACTTAATAAAATTCTCCAACGGTACCTCACAACACCCAGTCTAGCACAGCTGTATTAAAAAAAAACAGCCCGATCAACCCCACCAGCAAACGGGGCACAAATGAATTCATGGAGAACGAGCTGTCATTTATCGCCTGCTACACGAATAAATACTACTATAGCAAAACAAATGATTACGAAAGAAAGCTTCCATATCATTTTTATCTTTCATCTAGACTTTTCTTAATACTCGGATGACCTAAATGCATGGCACGTACCATAAGGTCAACAAGGTTAGTTATAAGGCTAAAGTCATTTATACTTCTTACAAACGGTTTTATTTTTTAAACTAATTACGCTATTTGCAAAATAATACCACTAGCGGTTTATTTAAAGCGCTTTAATCTTGCATTACAAACAAGTTGCAAATTTTTTATTAACAAAGTGGCTGGTTTAAAAATCGACCGCCGGCATTGGGCTCCAAAGATGCACTAGATGCCCGCTATCGAAGACGGTTATTATTATCAATAAGCAGACGGCCATTGCGGACAAAGTTCGAGACTGTATAACCCTTACAGTGCTACCTTCCGAGTAGACAATCCTCTATAAGATAGATATAAATCATTACAGTTTTAACCAATTTTTAATCAGACCCCAGTGAAGACAAATTTGGTGACTCCATGGTTGGTGCCTAGACATACAACAATAAAATGTATAATTGTGCAGTGCAAAACAGTGTAACGTTTCTTTCGGTGAAACAAATTTACGTCAGCCGCATTCCATGTCTTACCACAACGATGTTCTAGAAATGAAAATTGATCATGTAGAATCTTTCTTCTCCATCCAAGGCTCGCTGTAGGTACAATAATTTTTATGAGCCATCTGAAACACCATTACGGCGTCTGTTGAGTTATATTAACTACGACTTATGAAAATGGCAATCACTTAAGCAATTAAGCATTTGCTATATGGAAAAATAATGAACCAAAAAGTGATTTAGAGACATTAAGGTAATGGTAAGGGAAACAGAAAAACAAAACGGAAAACTGAAAGAGATTAAAGAAAAGAACGTAATAGGAAAGCATTAAAAAAGTGGTTGATATTAAGAGCCCTAAAAATTGCGTTTGTAAGTCAAATAGTCCATTGGTGAGAAATACGGTTCTGTAGTTCCGCAGGATATATTGGCAGGCTCGATCAAGCTCCGTTGATGCTACAAAATTGCGATGAACAGAGACCATAACCTAGAAGCAACTTTATTACCGTACAATTTAGATATATTGCTCGCTATCTATTCAGTTATCGAGAACATTGACCCAAAGGGACCAGCATAAAGGAATTAATTTTTAGCAATTTCAAGGCCCGTTCATGGCTTAGTAAATTCTAAGCGCTTTTATTCCTTGCACCAGGATGTGAAACTATTTATGCCTCACGGGAAATGGCTGTGAAATTCATCACAGTCAATACAACCCTTAATTTTCAGCAGAAAAGTCATCACACAATTTTTTTTTAATTTGATATTCTGCCACAAATGAAAAGGCTTTTGTTTTCAGCCATGCCTCATAATACTTATCTTTAAATGTGGCCATCCTTTGACTACATTCGATAGCTCGTTTTATGATTAACCAAAGGCAAACAATAATCTTAATCAAAATGGTCACTTGTATTTGATGTATTTTTTTAATGGAAAAATATGGTTTCAATAATTCAATCTTTCGATAATAATCGCATACCAAATAGATTCTATTCAATTCCCATCGATGATTATGGGCAAGAAATATACATTACCTGTTTTTTACCTGAATTTTAGTGTATATTTATCGCATAAGTTGCGGAAGTATTCAATAGTCTTCTAGATTTCAAAGTTGATGCAGTACTCACAGCAAATTTAGTTTGAGTAGGTATAACATGTACATGTGAATAGTTAAGTAATGGAGCAAAAATGTTTATTTAATAATATTTATTTATTAAAATACTGAAATTAAATAATTTGATTACGTTGCTAGAAGGCTTTTACAAGTGATATTTTTAAAGAGTAAATGAAAAACAACAGTTTAGAATGAAATAAGTTTTGAACTACGTGTCATTAGCAGATGAAATTTGGCTTGTAGATATTTTAGTCTATTAGACACCTGTGAGTGAGAATCGGTTGAGTCTGTTTTAGGAGAAATAGGTCTAGAAGGAAAAGCTTTTCGGTTTTGAAAATTAAAGCTCAGTGGCGAAATGTTTGTTTTTCGAAAACCACAGGATTGTGGAAATTCGTTAAAGATTGGTGAAGACATTAGGTAAAAACAATACATTAACGGTGCACTTCACTTCAAGAACAAAGAAGGAGTGTTGAGGATCAGCGAAGAGGTAAGCAGATATTGGAACCCGAAGGATAAGAGCGCATTGGCGCAGTTGAAAATTTTCCACGAAAAGTGAGCTTAGAGTCGCAAAGGCGTTTTTAGCAAAAGCTTGCATTTTACGTGTGACATATGACACAATTATAACGAAATACTAAAAATGCGAAAACTATAAAAATGGGTCCCTTGTGAATTATTTCCAAGCTAATTTGAATTGCATGTGGCGTATTATATAAGCAATTTGCGGGATTACATTCGAGAAAGAATATGCCCGAACGTACGGTTACGTGGACGAGACATCGAGCAATCTCTACCGTCCAGGGTTATCTACTACTATTAGGTCTCGTTGACAATGAGCCAACGTAGCTCGCTATGTTGAGTTCCTCAATAGATTCATACATTGTTGGAATGACAGCCAAACGCATGAAATCTCGTTTCTTGATGACAGCGCTAGACCTTATTGCCATTCCTTAATTACTCTCTGGAATGAGCAAAAAAATACACGGCGTTGGCTTTAACCAATTATCCTTCAGAACTAAGTTCCTGTGATTACGGGACTTTCTATGATATAACAAGGGCAACTGGTGAACAAATATGTCTCATTATCAATTCACTTTGAAAAGTCATAGAGAAAAAAATCACATATGGTAAAGGTTTAGAATGGGTATTTAGAAACTACCAGAGCTCTGGAAAAAGTGTGTAAAAATAAAGGAGAGTGGTTAAAGTAATAAATATTTTAGCTCGACTAATCCAAGATGATTCAGTTTTAAAATCCGCCAGACTCGCCCGTAACAGCTTAATTTACCTTTTGCTTAAGAATACGAATAGCATTGAATGAAGTCAGAGTGATATGTAAAGACGGTGAATATTGTTTTAGAGAATGTAACTGAACAGATGAAATGTAAAACAATTCAAAGCACTACTAAAAGATCACTTTATAGGAAAGCGTAGGCTTATTTCACCCACAAAATGAGATCTGTCTAATAGGGCAAGTCTCAGACCCATCTACAGAGTGATAAAATTTATGCTGAGATCTCGAAAACGGTATCATATAACAAAATCCTAACTATTTCTCACTATTAGTTTTCACACTTCTTTCGAAAGCAATCAGGCTTACTGAAAAACTATGAAAATGTAATTTGTTAGATAAGCAAGCTGCCATGTCCTATCATGACATTAAAAAAAAGAAACAGGAAGTTAGAGATTCCTTTCAAAATTCTCAAAAATTTGTAGAAATATTCTATATTGATTGAGAAATATAGATCTGTTAAGAACATACCACAAGTGTAGCAGAGATCGTTATAGGTTTTTTTGAGCATATAGCGGAATAAATAAAGCAGATTGACATTCCAACACCTACTGCTTGTGTCAAGTACGTGAAAGATTACCGAATTAAACCTTATACTGGCGAATATTGTATGTTAGTACATTTTAAAATCATGACGGTTAAACATTGGATCAAAAAACGTTTAAAGTAATATTATGTATTACTTCTAGAAAAAAAATTGTAACTTTTTGCTCAGAATTAAGAAATCTATCTTGCATAGTGGGTCCACTTATCAAAGAGTTCAATAGATAAGAAAAGCCACAGAATTTACATTACACGACAAAAAAAATACACTTGATATATCGCATGTATAATTAAAGCTGGCATAACCTAAAGCATAAGCAGTCAAAGCGTGTTCCGTAATGTGGAAGTGACACTACAAGAACTTTAGTATTTACATAGTTGGGTTTAGAATATAACTACAGCCGTACTGGTGTCACTTGGCAAATGTTACTTGGTGGAGTGACACTTGAGTTCCAATTATTCTCGGGATGCGGCTGTCAACGTTTCTCTGAAAGTACCTCAAAACCACACGTGCGCAATAGGTGAATGAATGAAAAGTACCCAAGCAGGTGCTTTAAAGCCATTTATATAATAGTACTCCTAGGTTCATTAGTACGTGTAGATTCTAGACTATCCCAGTGATAAGTTTTCGTCTAGGTGTGGAAATTTAAGATTACAGTGGCCTGTTGCGCGGAACCCATATGACAGAAGCAGAAGAAAGGGTAAGAAATAAATAAAAAAGCAGACGCAGTATGTACGACAACCTGCCGAAATAAAGATAAGAGTGATTTAACTGTAAGATATTTATATATAGATTATTCTGCCACCTTTCCGCTGTTTTCTTACATTCGCAATAAACGCGATAAAAACGTATTGTGAGAATGAGTACTAGCTACGTGCGCTGACTGGCCATTTACACTAATATGAATTTAAGCCAAAATTGGAGTCATCGCTAATGGCCGATAGGTGCGTTTCAGGACCATCAAGCGTAACCAAGCATTTATTTTACTTGAGTTCCGTTAAGGAAGTCCGTTTCTGCTTTACCCGCCAAGAGATACGACTCTACCACTAAAGGGTTGTGCGGTGCTAAAGGACGGTCCACCCGCGTCGTATGCTAGGTGAATCATTTCTCCCTACCACCATTTTTCCCATTCTGATTCGCAGAACACCAGCTGACATGCAAGCAATAGCAACCGCTTACTGTTCCCACCGTTGTATTTACTACTGATGCCTACAGAAGGTAATTCATATTTTTTAATGCACGCACACTTTATAGTAAGTTTGCGGATTTCCATGTAACATAAGACTGCGTTGATATTGTCAACTGTGGCACTGTTCTGAACAAACCGATAATCATATCTTGTCTAGAAAGAGAAGAACTCAAAACATATTTGTAGATGCTTAACGAGAGTTGAAACAAGCCAGTGACATGACAGTTTTTTAGTTATAAATGGATATGTAATTTAAGAGAATCAGGCA